CTGTACTTTGAAAATCAGGCCTAGCTGGAAATTTACCCATATATTGCAGATACTGCTTTGGATGCAAGGCAAAATGGAAGGGAGTACAGTGGAGAGACAGAAGGCATTCTGATTGTCTGAGCAGTGTTCCCCTCAACGCAAATATATTTCCTTAGCTGTTTCTCTGCCTGATCAATATTGTCTGTATTACACTGCAGTTTTTTCCCTTCCTCTTCCCCCACCTCCCCACCCATTTGATCCTCCCTAATCACTTTTCTCTATCTCTCTCTCCATGCATTCTCACTATTTCTCTTTGCTTATTATATATCCTACTACTTTCCCCCCACTTCTTAGTTTCATCATTTTCCAGATCCAACTTCTTCCTCTAAGCAGTATCTACGTAAGGGTGTACTGGATTTGCCAGCAATAGCTTGACAAAATTCCAGCATATGTGAATAGGAAAGTCAAAGGATATAATGCAAGAGGAGAGTGAATAAAACCTTTATTGCGTCTTCTGTGTCAACATTTTAGAAGTGGCAACTCAGAGGCTGGATGGTTGTGGCACATGATGCACACCAAATGGCCCAGCTCAGTGGAGGGGAAGGGGCTGTAGCCAGCTGGGCTGCAGGATGCTGCAGGAGGAGGGGTGGCTGCTGGTTTCACAGAAGGGATGGGCAGCAGGAACGGTGTTGCCCACAAAGCCTCTGCACCCATACCTAGGGAGAAGCACAGGCTTGCCTCTGCTGACAGATGTGCTAGGTCAACCTTTCTGATCCCTGTTACTCTGTAGAGTAAGTGTTTGAAAAGCAACATAGTAACTGAAGAGCACTAGTTTTGGCTTCTTTTAACCTGGGGCATGTACTCCCATAGAGACTGTTTTCGTCTCACATTCCTATAGATAAATTGATAGATGGGTAAGCCTTACTTGTTGCAGTCCCCTATAGAGGGACTTCAGAATGGAAGCTCCTGTTAATCCAGAGAGTTTGGCTTGAGCCATTTTAAACCAGTTTTTCAACCAACGTTGGATATTTTTTAATTTGCAAATGCAGTTGTTCCAAATGAACTAAACTATTTAGTACACGTAATTCAGTTCCGTTTATGTATTACTAATACAGCGTAATCAAAGCCATATAGCTTTATGTCATACCAGTTAATAGCAGCAGACTTGCTGGTAGAATGATGGTGGGTGATGGGTAGTTGAAAATGAATACAAAGGTCAGATTTTTTGTAATTGATACTTGAACTCATTTGCAACTGATAAATTTAATATCATAATTTAAGATGTTGCTTTCTGGAACTAAGTGCTATAGTTTTCTGCATTTGTTTCTTTTATATTTTGTGGAGAAGGTTTCATGTGTGACTATAGGTTGAACTGAACAGCATTAATAAAAGAATAGCACAGTACAAAAAACTGTTAAAACATACATAATGATAATGATAACTCTGTATAATTATACTTGAACATAGTTTTATGATACCAGTAGACTTAATTTTACTGTGATAATCATTATACACTCAAATAATTTAGAAAGCTTCTTTAGTTTTAGTAACTTGTAATAAGCTTTGGTTATAGAATAGTGTATGGAAAGATGCTTGAGCCTGCAACAGAAATCCCAGTCTTGTTTTCAGCTTTACAAGTCCTGTCTTCATGGATAATTTTTAGCATTGTGTGCAAGAAAGTTACTAAAAAGCACATGCAATTTTAGTGATTATGAACTGTATTGCTGTGTTTTCAGCACTTGGAACAGCTGCGTGCAAACCGAAATAATCTAAATCCAGCACAGAAACTTATGCTGGAACAGCTGGAGAGTCAGTTTGTCTTGATGCAGCAACACCAGCAGGTGAGAACAGAAATATTTTTCTCTTCTACAAAACTTCTGTCAGTAATGGCGTCCGTTCCGTTTCTTGAATTCTTAAGAATTTCTATTGTACAGAGTTCTCATGCCCTTTACCGCATTACATTAATTCTTTTTTCTTTTATTTTTATAAAATATAATTGTGGTTTACTGGTTGAAATATAATGGGTTTAGCTGTGTTTTATTATAGGGCTACCAGTTATTGTAAAAGCTTTCAAGCCACACTTTCAAACTAAAGTGAGTGGAGGCATCTTGAGCAGTGTTACTGGAGGAATACCCGGCTGTAGTGAGCCATGTTACAGCATCTCCCTCCTCCTCCTCTCGCTGTTTGCGTCTCTCTCTCTCTGTGTCCAGCCTTAGAAGTAAAACGCTAGCACTCAAACTGAAGGGCCTAGAAGAAAAGTGTGCCCGTAGCTTTACCTTACAAGTCGCTCAGTGCATTTGTAAGCATGACAGACATCTTGTTTCTCAGAAGCAACTGTGACAATCTTAAAATCAGTATAAAGTTGGAATTGACCGGTCCAATGAAATACAGAAACCTTGTACGATCTTCACTTTTTCAATTCCGCAGCTAATGTTCTTGTCCTTTGTTCATCTCCCATTAGATGAGACAAACAGGAGTTGCACAGGTACGATCTACTGGAATTCCTAATGGGCCAACAGCT